ATTTACAGTTACCCAGCAGTGCCAGGCTCAACAGCCAATCAATGACCAGAATGTCAGCCCAATGGCGCCACCCCGCTGCCCTCAACACATTCATCTTCCCACCAGGGAAGTTAAAGCTGCCAGACAAACGGACCTCAGAGACAGTGATCAAGATGGAAGGAGAAAGGAGGACAATGGGAAAGAATATAACTGTAGGAGAGAAGGAATGGAGATTTTTCCTTGAGAGAAAAACACAAAAATAGGAGGAAAGAGGGATCAAATGCAGAGAAGCAATGGAAATCCTTAAGACACCGATTTAAATGAAGAAAACTAGGCAAAAAGGTCTTTTTTCATCACCTGCTGCAAGTGATTAGGGAGGCCCCAGAATGCTGGCTGAGGAGGCGATCTAAGAACAGTGAGTGGGAAAGTGGGAGTGAAGGGGGCTCAGTTCAGGCTCCAGGAGAAGTATGACACAGCAATAGCTGCAGTGAAAACTCTTCTTTAATCTCCTGACTTGAGCCAGATCTTTTCCATCCTCCTTTTACCTGCATCAAATCAAACCAACTTTATTTATAAAGCGCTTTCACACGCCCAAAACGGACAAACGAAGCGCTGTACACCAATGACAAGCACAGCAATACAACAGACATATAACCATTTAAAATACAATAAGAAATCTCGAGTACAAGTTTGCAATCCATATCAGTGCTGTTTCCAGAATCAGATCCAGACACATTCAAAGCGACGCTGCCCACGCAATCCCAACTTCAATGTCCAAACGCCAGCGAGAACAGATGCGTTTCTAGTCGGCTTTTAAAGGTCTTCAGTGATTTGGCCTGCTTTACGTCGGCTGGCAGCTCATTCCAGAGACTTGGTCCGAGCACTGAAAAGGTACGCCTCCCACGAGACTTCAGGCTGTACCTGGGCACGGTTGATAGTCTCTGGTCAGCTGACCTAAGGGAACGCACCGGGACATGTCGGTGGATGATGTCAGAAAGGTATTTAGGTGCCCCTGAGTTTAACGCCTTAAACACAACCAGGATGACCTTAAACCTGATGTGATAGGAGACAGGGAGCCAATGCAAGGCACGTAGGACTGGTGTAATATGTTCAGACCTCCTGGTAGATGTTAACAACCGAGCAGCCGAGTTCTGAACCGCCTGGAGGCGTGCTAGTGGAGCTTGCCTAAGCCCCACATATAGCGAGTTGCAATAATCCAGCCTGCAGGTAACAAAGGCACGGATCACAGTTTCCAAATGACTACGTGACAGAAAAGGCTTAATTTTCGCTTAGCGGCGTAGATGAAAGAAGCAAGATCTCACGATTCCGTTCACTTGAGCCTCAAATCTGAGCTCTGCGTCCAACTTTACCCCTAGGTCTGATGCGGTGCCAGTGTGGAAAAATCAAGCCCTAGGGTCTTTGGTGGCGTAAACAGAATTACTTCAGTCTTGTGTTCGTTGAAACGCAAGAAGTTCTGAGCCAACCATAGCTTGATGTCCTCCAGGCAGTCCAACAAAGGTTGAATGGTGCATAAACCACCACGCCTAATTGGAAAAATGACCTGGCAATCGTCAGCATATAGATGGAATGACACGTCATGTTTACGGAATAGCTCACCCAGGGGTAGGGGTGAAGAAAAATAGTGGGGCCAAAAACGATCCCTGAGGCACTTCCCAAGGCAGCTCAGCCAGGTCGGAGGACAGTCCCCCAACCTCACACAAAAACTCCTCCCTGTCAAGTAAGATCTTATCCACTGCATGTGTACAAAACACCAGATCTATGCCTCCAGTCCCAAATGTAGAGGGAAGACTGTTGGAAACGGATGCTTACGGCTAAACCCATTCATTCTTAGATGTATGCAGTTATCCTGTGGTCACATTTGTGTACTGCAGTCCGTGTCTCAGAACAAACAAGTTCATTCTCAGTACCATTCTTACCAGAACACTGCTACCTTTTGTCAGCCGACGCAGACTTGGCAACCCTGCAGGATCGCAGATCGTAAACTGTGACTACCGCCCTCTCAAGCCCCCATAGTCCAGTAAATTCATGAAGCCAACAAGGAAGTGCCAATAATTGCAGTTCCACCCTCATCCACTAGGGGTTGGCAACAGAAGTGAGCATATCCTCATTGACTCCCATGTTAAAAACGAAGTAAGCGTGTTTACAGCCTGGTTCAAAATAACATTTTAGGTTTAATAGCTCTAGCTTACAGTCATGACAACTCTGAGGGGGTGAATCTTTCTAACTTTTCTGTTTAGGTGTCATTTCACGCTTAAAATGATGAATAATTAGATTTGATTGACAGGTTGCACAAGCGTCAGGCTTGCATCAGCGCTAGCGGTTGGCTCCGGGAAAGGCCTCTGAGTGTTTGTGTTAGGATGTTAATCATGGAATTATCTGGACAGAGGGCAAAGCTGTGGTTATCATCCAAGAAGTCTCTGCTTCATTTTTATCAGTAAGTACAATTATATTTCTGTACTTCATTTTTCTGTTTGAATGGGGATAATGCTGTGCATTTAACGTAACACTGCTCGGTGAAACATGTTAGCGGTGTTGCTGGCTGGGTAATGAAACTTGAGTGGGTGCCTAGCTTCTCATGTCTCCCAGCGAGGAACTGTTGTTAAGATGCAGGCGACTGGCCGCCAGGAGCCGTGTCCACGCGGCTCACAGCTCCTCTTCCTGCCCGTGAGCGCCGACACGGCTCCTGGCTCAGCGTCAACAACGGCAACCTTGCGGATCTTTGACCGCGTGGTGGACCAGCGAAACCCGATAGCCTCTGCTATATAAACATATACTTGCTCAGCTCACCTAGCTCTAGTTTATTTACCCAACAGGCCGGAGGTGCCTTCCCTTTTGAATCATTCAACCGTTTTTCTCACTAAAAGTGCTAGCATTACCATGTAGCAGAAGCAGCTAATGCCCTGCTGATTTCCAATCGCCAGCGGAGGAGTGGAGCTGACGTAAGTGGCCAGGATGTTTGGATCCGATCACAGCAAACTGAGGCTCTGCTTGTACTTTTTACATTCCATATTAGAGCTCCACGGGTGACCAGCAAAACTACAGCCTCGCACAGAAGCTAGAAGCGCGGGTTAGCTGTCCCGGAGCTCCAGGGATTAGCTCAGTTAGCTAGTAGCTACACTGGTCCATTTTGGTTCATTTGGACCCTCAGCTCCACCTCTTTTCCCATTTTTGGATTGTCTGGGCGTGACAAGACGTGTGACGGCCAAAAAGGTGGTGGTGGTGGTGGGAACTGCATTTTTTGCCTCAAAAATAAATGTTTTTATAAAAGTGAGCGTTGCAATGTCCAGTGTCTGTCTATGGTTCCTCTTCCGCCTACTTAAAAGGAGAAAAACTGGCAACCACCCAGTTTGCTGAGAAGGAAATCAGTGTAACCATCCTTCCAACATTGTTGACACATGAGACAGTTTAGTGATTATTTCACAGAGAAATTCTTACACATTTAAGCAAAAGATGGGAAAACTGGCAGCTGAGGTGATAAAATGGGTGACTTTCAGCAAAATTTGCAGACATGTAGACTCTCACGCACACTCACACACAATACCAGCAGTCAGCCCCCCCTCCCCCGTATCTGAACCGAAATACAAACTAGAATCTGAATCTATCGTCTAAGATATCTCCCTACAGTCATTCATCATCTAATTACTTATTGATGCATTCATTTTCTGAGCTGGTCAAACTACAGGTAATAACGTCCTTTACTAGCTGCGGGGAACGATACCAGGGCGATTTGGACCAGTGGTGCCAGTGTTCGGCAGGCGTCGCCTCTTGTCACACACAGTAAGTTGTTACATGGTCATGTCTGGTGTTGGCACTCGGGTGTTTTACGGTGGGGAGCACTTTCTGCAATTCCATCCATCCATTTTCAGCTGCTTATCCGGAGTCGGGTCGCGGGAGCAGCAGCCTAAGCAGGGAGGCCCAGACTTCCCTCTTCCCAGCCACTTGGGCCAACTCCTCCGGGGAATCCTAAGGCGTTCCCCGGAAAGCCAAGAGACATAGTCCCTCCTGTGTCTTTCACTGGGTCTCCTCCCAGTTGGACGTGCCCAGAAAACCTCACCAGGGAGGTGTCCAGGAGGCATCCTGACCAGATGCCTGAGCCACATCAATTGGCTTTTCTCAATATGGAGTAGCAGCGGATCTACTGTGAGCCTCTCCCAGCTTCTTAACCTATCTCAGCCTATCTCGTTCTTTCGGTCACTACAAAGCTCGTGACCATAGGTGAGGGTAGGAACGTAGATAAATGATCAATTAAGAGCTTCGCCTTCCATCTCAGCTCTCCCTTTCTACACTTCTAACAATAACATACCTTCGCCATTAGAGGAAGTGTGGTTGTTTGCTGTCTTGTTATTGTTCCGAACAACTCATTAAAGGAAGTAAAACGCAACGACTGACTAATTATTCACTTCACACACACATTTCACTGTCATACTGACTTATTGGTTATTTAAAAAGAAACTTGAGATATTTTTAATAACCATTTGCTTCTAATTCACTGTTAGCTCAATGTTAGCCTCAAGCCTTCTTTACCTGATATTTGGGTGAAACAAAAAGATGCCATGGGCATCTGTGGCTAGTTACCACCAGTATGTGATGTGTATGTGCATGGGTGAATGACTGTTGTGTTTTAAAGTGCCTCGGGGCTTCTAGGCCTCTGGAAGACACTTTAAATACAGGTTTTTTTTGCCAGGTTTAAGTTGTTTCAATGACCATTGAGGGTTTTTCTTTCATTACCAGAAGGGTACCCACTATCCACATCTCTATTTGCTACAAGGTTCATAAAAAGACTTTTAGGACTGCCCCTAATCCAAACAAGTGACTTTTTTCTGTTCTCATTTTCAGGTTTGATTGGTCACTTGACATGTTTTCCAAACAGGAGTCTATAAATCAGGTTTGGCTTCTATTAGCCGTTACATTGGCTCTGTCTGAGTGCTGTCACAACTCATCTAAATATGAAGTGAGTAGATGATGAACGCACAATCAGACAGGTAAGATGATGAACTTACCTGACAGAATACGGACAGGTGAAAGGTGTTTTCCCATGTTCTTGGTCAGCCTGCATCTTCAACATTTGTCCCATGATTCGGATTAGTCCCTGAGTATTTCTGTTCACAGTGCAGAAAAAGGAACAAAAGTCCCAAAACAAGTTATTTGTATGAGTGCTGAAGATTCAGAACATATTCAGACGGATCACAGCATAAACACTACAACAGTACTATATAAGAAACATCCAGCTGGGTTAAATGGTTAACATGACAACACAGCAACATATCTGGATGTAGAAAACAATCACCTACTTTGAAAAACTTGGAAATCTTTTTGCTCTACAGCCTTAAATGGAATACAAACAAAGAATATCTTTTGACAGCTTTACTTATCCAACGCAACCTAACATTCACTGTAGGGCTGTAGCGAAGCCTCGACGACGTCGACGGCTCGATTCTAAAAATTCGTCGGCGTCAGATCCGGTAGTCGACGCACCGCGCCCACTTGTTGCATCCCCAGGAGTTTGTAAATAGAAGTGGAATCTGCCTGTTTTTCCTCTAGTTCGCCCTCTTCTCCGCCTTCACTAACATCTCCGCCAAATACCGAAGACCCGGAACAACGTCCGTCCGCTACTAGATCCCTTTCCCGTTTTGCCCGCCTTCGTCTCCCGGCAACGGATAACAACTTCCGGGGTCAGATGCGCTGCTTCGTCTCTACCGCAGATGTAGAACATCACCGGGAGCGTTTCTACCTTCATTAAGGAGCTTCTTTCAGGCATTAGGAGAGCTGTTTTGGTGGTAGCAGTCTCTCCTCCGTGCTGGTCTGTTTGCTGCTGGGTATTTTTGGTTTATTTAAACTTGGTAACTTGAACTTAACGTTGGTAAAGCAACTGTTAGCGTTTTCGCTAAAAGCTTCTTGCGTTGGGATAAGCTGTTACGTTTTGGTTTAGAGTTCATCTTTTTTGTGGTGCAGATCTCCCTTTTATTACATTTAGAGTGTTGTGGGTTTTCGGTTTAGTTTAAAATATCACCTTGAGTTTGGTTTAACCGCCCAGTTTAGAGTTTGGACCTTTGGAGATCCTTATTTTGGTCCAGAACCCTGTAATCTTTGCCCAGTGGGACATCCCTACTTATTTGTACTTTTGTTTTAATTCCCCACAGGCAGAATTAGTTTTATTATTCCCAACCTGTGGATGGAAAGATTTATATTTTTTGTAGTTGTAAATAAACCTGATCATCATTTTAACTTTTAAATCCCGTTATTGTCCCTTCCTTTTTGCACACGAGCCAAACTCCCCAGGAAGAGTCGTAACACCACTCGCCTCACGCTCATAAGTGACCAAAACAAAGCAGCATGGAGACACTCCGTCTCCAACCACCTCTCAGGCAGCAGCCTGCACTCCCAAGTTCTACACGTCACCAGAACATAACCAACACGATAAAAGCAGTGTTGTACAAAATGGAAGGCCTGTAGTGTTTATTCTCTTACAGTAACAATTGATCAATTTTTTTGAGGAATTTATTTGAGATTTTCTGGTTTTTATTAACTGTGCAATAGAAAAATAATCATTAGATTAACTTTCTAAATAGTCATTAGAATAGTCGACTATTCTATAAAATAATCGTCAGAATAATCGTTTTTAAAATAATCGTTTACCCCCAGCCCTAATTCACTGATAAATATTAATGTAAAAACAAGCAATACTGAGATTAAGACTTTCAGACTCAGTCAGGGGAGGTAACCACCATTTCCTCAGCAGAGGTTACTGGCTTCCAGCTGTGATTGACTGTAATCAATGTGATGAGTCGAGCATAAAAGCAGCTTTTCATGGAGCATTCACTGGCTTGGTAGTGCACTGACAGCAAACAAATGACCATGGGTGGCAAGCCACTTTCAAAAGATCTGAGAGACAGAGACGTAGACAGAAAAATCCTAAAGGTGTTGTCAACGCCAAGAAGCACCGTAAAGTTTAAAGGGACTTTACGAAGTTTTGAATTTTTATGCTCGCGATCGCCCCCTCAGGCCAAAAGCGTAACGGCAGCTTCAATAGTAGGCTCGTGCGCGAGGCGCGCATGCTGTACGTGCACACTCCTTAACAAAAATAACTGTGTGTGTGTGTGTGTGTGTGTGTGTGTGTGTGTGTGTGTGTGTGTGTGTGTGTGTGTGTGTGTGTGTGTGTGTGTCGGAGGACAGAGGACAGGAGAACGCACAGCTAATTAATTAAATAATTTGGTTCTGTACCTTTCTCTTCAGCACAGCCGACAAAGGTTTATGATGGGTCAGTCCTCCTGCATGCTCAGATCATTCCCTTCCCTTGCTTGAAAAATTGTTCCAAAATGAAAGTTGAACCCACATCTTTTTTATCTGTGAATTCAATGCCGTTCGGCGAGTCTCAAATAAAAATTTGGGCGTCTTACTGTAAAAAATATACCATTAATGTAAAAAATACACTCTAAATAAACTATGTTCACATCCAGAATCGAACCCAGGTCTTCTACACGAGAGTCAGACGTCGTACTAGATGAGCAAAAGCACCAGTAACATTCACAGTATCTGTAACATTTATATCCTTGATGACAGCTGAAACAACGTTCAAAGAACGGCTCGGAGTGAAAATGGCTGTTTTGTTGCTAATTTGCAGGAAATATCTAGAAGGTCTACAGAAAGTAGCTAAGGGTCCTCAGAAATGTAGCTAGCTTTGTCACTAGGCGTTAGGAACAGCGACAAAGTGGCACTGCCTCTCTCTCTGCTGCTAAAGCTACGGAGAGCAAATGCTACGGGCGATGCCTGAGCGTGAACGCGCATGAAGCAGCCTGCTCGACCCGAGCATCTCTCTTTTTCTGTGATTTTACAGAAAAACAGGCAATCACAGTAAAAATGCCAGGGCTCATTCTACAGGACCAGGGCATTGCAGGAGAATGTATGAAGAAGACATTTATTATTTCTATACATGTTTTGGCTGTCAAACTTCCATAATGCCCCTTTAAATAATTGGCAGGCATTTGGTACTCCTAGGACCCTCCCTGGACCGGGTCATCTCTTCAAACCAGATGAAAGAGCAAGGAGAAAACTGGAAGTGAGGACACCAAGAGGCCGATGGCCACTCTGAAGGAGTTGCAGGACTTAATGGTAACGTGGTCATTCTGTGCATGTGACAACAATTTCACAAAATGTGGCTTGTTTGGGAGGGTCACAAGAAAAAAAGCCACTTCTCAAGAAAGTCCAAATTGAAGCTCATCTGAGCTTTGAAATAACTATTTGAACACACCATACCTACAGTAAAGCATGGCGGTGGCAGCATCCTGCTGTGGGGGGTTTTCTTCCTCAGGGACTGGGGCTCTCGTTAGGGTAGAAAGAAAAATGGATGGGGTAAATTCTTGCTATCCTCTGCCAGAAAGTTGAACATGGTAAAAGATTCACCTTTCAACATGACAACGGTCTGAAGCACACAGCTAAGTTGACCACACACTGGCTGAAGGAGAAACAAAGTGATCTCTTCATGTGGCCCAGTCACAAGAAGATATACGTGAGTAAACAGAAACAGAAACTTAAACACCACCCGACGCTGTAATGGCGTCAACTGCTTCGAGGAGGGAGGATGCGCTGTTTGGTGGGTCTGCGAGTCATCAAAACGTTCGTAGTGGTGTGTGAGTGTGTCGGGAGTCTGTAGTGGGTGTGTGATGTGTGTAGGATGTGTTTGTCTAAACGTATTATTATTGTATTATTGTGAAAAAGCACAAGAAAAAGCCGAAAGACTTGGACTACAAAGAACTACAATTCGCAGGAAAATGACGTCAAAGCAAGTGATTGGGTGAGTGATAATCATGTGACAGATCACGTGTACAACGTGACGACGTTTATTCTAGCCTGTGAAGCCCTGTGAGCTGCAGACACAGCATCTGTGTCTGAATGAAAACACTTTTCTTATTTGCGCATTTTAGTCGCTTTTTGCAAACTCGTTAGCGGAAATACGCAGCGCTCTGGGACGTGTTCAGTGTGTGAGATATAAGTGTAACTCCTCCCGTTTAATATGCAAAAGAGAATTTGGTTTTATCTTATATAGTTTCAGTTCTACAAGCATCTGAACACAGATATGTAAATGGGAGCGCCGGCGCTCCTGACAGTCTTAAACGGTTAAAAGATGCCCAGTCATGTCTCTGGGCGACGCCATATTAGACGCCATGTTTTCCTCTACCTGAACCCTTGAGGACAAATTTAATTTACTGATTTAACAAATGATTACAAAATCATTTCACAAACTGTCACGAGCGTGCGTGCCTGGTGAGTGGAGCGGTGATCAGATGAGGATCCAAACGCGGGGGAAAAAGGCGAACAGGTAAGTCCGTTTAACATAAGTTTATTTGAACACACACGCTGGACAACTGAAACAATGACACCACATGGAACACAGAACAGAAGGGGTTTAAATACACGAGGAACGGGAGCTATGGTGATTGGGAAACAAGAGGCAGGTGGGAGCAATTAACGGAGACACAGACTAAAACCTAAGAGAAGACAGGACAGGGTGTGACACAAACGCTGTTGTTTTACACATTTACCTCTACTGGCCCTTACCACCTTGAAAAATACACACCGTCACTTTAAGGGAGAAGATAAAAGACGATGTCAGGGGCAATAGGGGGTAGTACATACCAAAACCATTGCCAGCAAGCAGTGCTTTTGTGTTTGGGTTAGACCTTACCAATGGACGGCCATTAAGGTACATAATTCCCTGGAAGGTGCAATTTCCAGCAAAATAGTAGTAGTAGTAAGTATATTTTATTTATATAGCATTTATCACAGACATAGAATCACAAAGTGCTTCACATAGATAAAAAAAAAAATAAAAAAAAATGACAAATACATCAGACTCCCGTTCATCGCCGACAACAAGTGAAGAGGTAAACATATAAAACAACAATAATTATGAATGGCAAAGGTTTTGTAACAGTTTGTTACAAATCAGTAAATGCATTTTCTCCTCACGGACTCCTGTAGAAGTAAACATCACATCTATTATGGCGTCACCCAGAGTCTTACGCCTAATTTATACTTCTCCGTCAGCTCCACAAGGGACATGCGCGCACGGACGGAGACGCTTTGCCTTCATACTTCTCTGTCTCCTGGGGAGCATTGCAAAGCAATTCCTCACCAGAACAACAGAGGGCGTAGCGCTGTTCTGTGGTATCCTGTCATGCATCCTGTCCAAAATAGTGCATTTACTATATATATTGTGTAGCGTCATGAATGTCCTGTTTTTGACCTAAAGGTCATGATCTGCTGCGTCTGCTCAAGCAGAGACATAAAGTCTCTGACAGGCTAATCTACATGAGATGTTGGCCAAGGTCTTTCATGCACTCTGCTCATCTGAACTGCTTCACCTCTGTTACAGCTCAAGACGAAGACGAAGAACTCTCTTGATAAACACATAATCAACCAACTTTGTTATTACCAATAATAATGTGAGCCCAATGTTCAATCAATCTGTGAAATGGCAATGTTATTACTTGATATTATAATCCTATGATCAGTAGTATTTTATAAGTAATTATAATCTTGGACATTAATGACACGTAATGCTAAAGTCACGACACATTTCCTGTTGTCTGATCCAATCAGAACCTTCCTTTCTGGCGCAAGGCGTGGTTTTCTGTGGTGTTTGTATAAACCCTCTTTTGCATGTCAGATTCTGATTCGCCAGTAAACCAAAATATGACAATTATAAAAACTATCCCACGCCACCTTTTCTTTAGTTCAAAGTGTTCTAGAGAAGTCTCGGACAGGCCATCCGGACTTCCTCTTCAGCCAAAAGAACCTCGACAAGCTGGATAAAATCTGTTGCACGTTACACCTGACCGCAACGGTTCCTTCAGAATAAAAGCGGAACTTCACGACCCCTTCATGGTCTTGCTGGCGCCAATGAACCTGTCGTGACCTGGAAGCATTCCAAGACTAGTTTGGTCGGCACCACGGCTTTTCTACCGCTTCAGTTCCAAGGAGGGGCCAAGAGGACCTCGACATTCTGGATCTAACAGAGGCTTCCCCCGGGGTACGTAGATCGACAGATGGCGTTTCATGTGTGTTATAAATCTCCTACTAAAGTTTAGTCAAATCAATCAAAGATACTTTATTAATCCCAGAGGGAAATTAGAGTTTCAGTACACACAATTCAGAGATCAGACATACATGGGCAAGACACATGACAAGAATTGGTGACTGTGGTCATTCGCAACCCTGAGTCGCGCTACCTTAATAGAGATAAGAGGGTTACATGAGGATTGGTTCAGGTGGAGGGAAAAAAGGCACTTCAGAGTTACCCTCCATAGGGACGGCAGCTTTGCTCTGCAAAAAAACACCTCAGACAGATATGCAACAGACTTCAGACAACACAACATAAGTGTCCACTAGGTGGGGTGGTGGGTTGGAACTATCCCCACTTCAGTTCCTGCAGCCACGATAAGCAGCGCATGTCACCTCAGTGTGGATAGGGGGAGGAGCATTGAGGGTTGGAGGGTTGCAGTGACCCTGGACGCTTCAGCGGCCTTCCCGCAGTCCCGCTCAGGCTGGGAAAGGAGACAGAGTGGAGTTGCCATAGCGACGGCACATTCCACATATCTTCTGAGGGGGGAGTTTTCGTTGGAGCCTTGCAAGCACAAGGACACCAGATTCCGATTAGACTCGCGCCTAATTTATACTTCTCCGAGCGAAACATTCACTCCCACTCAGAACTAAATGCTTCTCCTGATCCTAAGGTTCTGATAACCACATTCCACACATACACCATCCTCTCACGTTTCATTCCACCTAGTCCATCAGCACACAGAGTGTTTAAGTTAGTCTTGTTTAAATTGTGCAGAAATAAATTTCTTAACTATTATAAACCTGACTCTTTCTTTCCTCTGAGTTAATACCAAGTGTCAAGTAATCCCTGCAATAAAAAGTTCTGATCTTCTGGTTAAAATATTCAAAGATCCATCAACTTGATATTTCATATTTCTATGGAATCTCACATTTGACGGTTCATAAGTAAGATGTAAATGACCCATCCTTTACAATAGTATTTAAGAGACTTTTTAACTCATTCACTGCCAGCCGTTTCCTGATCGCTAACGGCCTTCGCTGCCAGCGTTTCTCACCGTTTTTACTGTTTTCTTAAGAGTCACAGAACGTTGCACGCTAGCATGATGTCGATGCCAAAACAACCTAAACAAAGAGGAGACTCACCTCTTACATCAGGAAGAAGCCGGGTGTTTCGAGTGTTATCCGTTCTTTCATAATCCGTTGTCAAATTGTGATCGGCAGACGCTTTTCCGGTTCGCGCCTCACTTTTTTTTACAGGAACAGCCCAAAACGATCTCCAAACACATGGATTTGTTGCTTCCTGATCATGTGATCTGTGACATATGCGGATGAAGATCGGCTTCAGGGCTGAGATGTTTGTTCTATCAACGCAGGGGCTCGTTCCGATGCTCAAACAGTAAAAAAAAAATGCAAATGACGACTTTAGTCATCATTGGCAGTAAACGGTTGGATCTAAAATGACGACTTTAGTCGTCAATGGCAGTGAATGAGTTATTATGGACAAAGTTGTCCCTTGTTCACCTCCACCTCTTCATGTGCTCACCACCTCCAAACCCACGTTTCCCATCATTTCTGTCCACCAATAAAACACGTGTGTATCTTTTCCCTCCTCCAGTCACGGGGAAATACGATGTTGACATTTTTAGAGTTTTTCTGTGAGGTATTCTTCAAGCTGCCGCTAGATATCCTAGGCTCTCTTCACGTTTTTGAGGGCACAATGGCGGTGCTGTAGACGACAACGGCGCCCTGACCAATCACAAGCTTGCGTTCTCCGTCTCGATGGACGGATGTTTAGAAAAGAGGGCTCAACTCGGTCTGTCCTTGTGAGCCTGTCGGAGAGCCCTCTAAAGGACGGATAACGGCATTGCGTGCGTCCGTCCCCACGCAGACGTAGAAGTATAAATTAGGCTTTAGACCCGCTACCATGTATTTTAAACCCGATATTTATGGTTAGATGTTACAAAGCTGCCAATATGCCCAGCTGGGCCTCATTTCATTCATTTTCAACAACATTTCGATGGATATTTCCAAAGATTAATGTTAAAAACTTCACATTGTCTCTTTAAATGGCTTATGGTTATTTTTTTAGTTGGATGTTATCTGTTTCATTGGAAAAGTAAAGCTGTTAAATATATATGGTTTGGCTCATCCTACCAAGCAGCTTTTTTGTTTTCAAATGGAATTCTGGTCAGTGTTCTGCAGTGGCGCCTCCAAGGGGTGGCCAGGGGTGGCCATGACCAACCCTAGAAAATAGCAGGCCACCCCATTGGCTTTTTTTTTAATTCTGTTTCTCAAATTTGATGTGTGTTTTTTGGTTGTTTTTTTTTTTATGAAAATGAATAAAGAAGCATTTATTGCATCATTACAAGACAAACTTTTTCCAGAGATACCACAAGGATCAATTTGGTGTGCCACCCCAAAACTTTCTCTGGCCCATGGCCACCCCTATGAACATTTTCTGGAGGCACCACTGGTGTTCTGATGATGGGACTCAGTCACCAAGGCTATATGAAACAAACCAAGTTCTAAATAAAATTAAGAAAACAACTCATTGTGTTGTTCAAAGGAAATAACAACCGCCACCATGACACTTTTAAACCCAGGGCAAAATCCTGGATTTCTAAAATAACTGACACAACAAATCCTGTCAGTCAGGGGTATTACAAAAAAACGCAGCTTTGATGACAATGTAATCTCTTTGTTTGAAATCATAATTTAGATCTGAAAAAATAAAGAAATCAATAAATAAAAACCACAACATTTATCCATATATCTTTCAGTCTGGCTGTGTGGAAAACTCAACTTATATTTATTTCTCTTGTTAATATTTTAGTTCATTTTACCGATACATGTGTGAGTGTGTTGTGTACCTTGCAGAAGGCAGGAGAATGAGGACATTGCTAAGGATGTACTGCAGGTCTGCATGGCCCTGATCCACCAACAACACCACGGCATCGCAGCAGGCTGAACGCACAAGTGCACAGTCGCTGCAGCATTGCTGCCACAGAGCCTCCAACGCTGGGCCCTTCCATGTAATACAAACCAGTTCAGTCAGGTTAAATCCAGGAAGCCTCACGTCTACTTTATTTTTTTAGATTAAATATAATTATATACTAATAAATGTCACAAATTTAAAAATAACTAATTACTAAGTAATAATTTACAAACTGCATGAATTAGATGAATCTAGAGTTTACCTTAAGCCACATGAAAATAATCTTTCTGAAAGAACCCACCTGGGTGGAGGACTGCATGATTGGTCCATTTGATCCTTTTTCCTTTAGCACAGCAGCAACTAGGCTTCTCACACCCTGGAGGAACCCAAACATTTTTGGGCAGAAGAGCCACATTTTTAGAACAGGACCATAAACGGCAGTCAGTTGTGTTTAGAGATTCAGTTAATTAGGGCTGCAGCTCAGAAAATTATAGGCATCAAGTAATCTAACAAATACTCCTTTGGTTACTAGTATTCTGATTTAAATGTCAGGGTGGCACTAAAAACTGTCAAAGAGGAGCAAGCAACCGATCCAAGATGGTGGCACTACTTCTCTTCTGCGCCAACAGGCAGTAGAAGTCGACGCAGTCTTAAATACATCCAGGACAGCCTTCCTACTGGTATGGACAGATCCCAGTTTGCCTACAAGGGGAACCGGTCGACTGAGGACGCTGTCTCTATTGCACTACACACCACTCTGACACATCTGCAGCATCATCACACCTATGTTAGGATGCTATTCATCGACTTCAGCTCGGCTTTCAACACCATCATCCCAGACAAGCTGATAGTGAAACTCTATAACCTGGGACTCTCTGCTTCAATGTGCCTCTGGATCAGGGACTTTCTCACTAATCAGCCCCAGGTGGTGAGAATAGGAGACCAAACATCATCCACCATAATTCTAAACACAGGCACACCACAGGGCTGTGTGCTCAGTCCAGCTCTCTTCACATTATTTACCCACGACTACACAGCCCTCCACCCCTCAAACATGGTTTTGAAGTTTGCAGATGACACCACCATAGTGGGTCTCATAACAAACAACGATGAGACCCTCTGCAAAGAGGAGATACAGGACCTCACTCTGTGGTGCTCTTTGAACAACCTGGTGCTCAACACCAGTAAGACCAAGGAGGTCATAGTGGACTTCAGGAGGTCCAACAGGACAGAGCACCCACCTCTACTCATCTGGGGACGGAGCTAGTAGAACGTGTAGACAACATCAAATTACTGGGCATCCACATCACCTCAGATCTAACCTGGTCACTGAACACTTCCTTTCTGGTAAAGAAGGCCCAACAAAGACTCTTCTTCCTTAGGAAACTGAAGGGGAGCCGATCTGTCCCCCCCAACAGCTAAAGAACTTCCACAGAGCCATGATTGAGAGCATCCCATCACTCAGTATGATGGTGTGGTATGGGAGCTGTACCGTCCAGAACAAAATAGACCTGGCCAGGGTGGTGAAAACTGCACAGTGGATCATGGGGAGCCCACTACCTGATCTGGACCAGTATATACCATCCGACTACAAAGGAAGGCTAACTGTATCGCTGCTGATTCCTCCCATCCAGGTCACAAACTGTGTATGCCGCTACCATCCAGGAAATGGTACAGGAATATCAAGGCCACAACCACCAGGCGGAGGAACAGCTTCTTCCCTAGAGCTGTTAAAGCCATCATGCATGATGATGGCATGATGGGTGCATCACTTCATCTGCCTCTCTTCTTACCCTGATGCACCATCACTCTGGAACAGGGTCCATCTGGACTCATCAGACCAGTTTTAATAAACTTCTAAACCCAGTTTTAGTCATTTCTGCATCTCCTTAGATGTTTTCTCTGCTCGATGCCGATGATCTGACCCTTCTCACACAGACTAACATCTTTTCCATCACCAGATGAGTCTTTCCACCTGGTTGTGTAGGAAACGAGAAGCAGCTTGTTGCATCTGTTGGGGTTAAATAGCTTATTGCCAGCTGAAAGACAATCGCCCATGCAGTAATTATCCAATAGGAGGCTTGTACCTCTTTGCTTAGTTGCTTAGTTAGATCCAGGTGAGGACTTTTTTTGGGGGGGGCGGGCAGTTTATATCACATGTAACATAATTTGTGACAGGGATGGAGAAATCTAATTTAACCTGCACAAGCAGGTCAGTTCAGGCTGGCAGACAGTAGACACCATATAGTGTCCCCACCTCACTGTTGAAGCATATGAGGCGACCTCACCACTGTCCCAAGATAAGACATGCTTCCTTATCCAGAGTCAGCTGCTTACCTGGGCTTGTATGATAGGGCTGGAGAAATCTAACTGCATCTTCAAACTCTCCATCATATCAGCGTCTCACACCTGAACACAAAGAACAACCCACAACTGTCCTAAGTCAAAATGTACCCAAGTTTTATCCTCAGCCGCTAGGGATGTAAGAAAATGTCGATTATGGCAATATATCGTGATATTTTCCCCAGCGATATTATATCGATATTAAAAAGCTGTGTATCGAAAATATCGATATCGCAATATATCGTGATATATTTTCTTGCAAAAATGTATCGATATTCAAAAGTCGCGTATCTAATTTTTGGAAGAATTTACATGGAAACATTTGTGTATTTTCTTTTCTTGTGGTGCAATTCAAACGCCGACCACTAGTGGGCAGCAGTGTGTAATGGGTTTTGTTTCTACCATTGAAATGTAAATCCCTCTGTTTTGGTTAAACATGTTAAGTATCAGTTTGGACTGTTTATTGAATTTTCCTATAATAAATTTAGTCTAAAAAATCGCCAACATCGTCTGACTGAATGTATCGCAATATATCGTGATATATTGTATCGTCTCCCCTGTATCGTAATACGTATTGTATTGCCAGATTTTCACCAATACACATACCTATCAGCAGCTAAATAATGTAAACCACTGCAGCCTGAGTGAATTAGTCTCCCAACATTAACACTTCATTAACCTGCAGATTATTTCTGTTGAATTTTACAACAAGAATCTCTGCTTGGAAACCACAGAAAGTGGGCCTTAGACTGCGACAGGATCCTGTCTTTTTGAAGTGATGGGATAGGTGGATTGAATATGTAAAACAAGTCAGAGATGACTAAAGCAGGGTATCTGCAGGTTTAAGGGAGCTAAATTTAAGACTTTTTAAGACCTTTTTTAAGGCCACTTTGACCAAATTTAAGCTATTTTTAAAATTAAATTTAAGCTATAATTTCCAGCTATTACCTGGAACTGGTGCTAACCACGTCGCGAACATGGGATTAGCCATCCAGTTACCATTAAACTTGCACTTCCCCATGGTGCAAGCTCCCACTAGCTTAACCAGCTAATGTGCTCATCTAAAAATAGCCCCCTTTCACAACCAACTGAATGTGTACGGTTCTGCTTATGCCAGCTTGCCAATCAATTTCTCTCTGGGATTAATAAAGTATTTTTGAATTGAATTGAACATCAAACACCCAAAATGCTGAACACTAACTAGAAATTCACAGTTTTTTTATATAAATAAAAGAATCTTGTTTATTGGGTCTTTGGAAACTGTATTTAAGGATTATTTGTAATTTTTAAGGATTTTTAGGGCCTTAAATTTGGAAAAGCAAATTTAAGACTTTTTAAGGACCCGCGGATACCCTGTAAAAGGACAATCACGTTACACACATTTTTTAGTTATAGATTTTTATTTTATGGAAGGCACACCCAACAGTTTGCTTGTTTCGTTTGTTGTTTTTCTGCCCACTTTCCTGTTTTATTGACTTTACTTGTTACAAGTTCAATTTCTATAGACATAAAATTCTATTTTAAAAAAGGAAGTGAGTCTAACTTGTGTGGTGACTTTATGACCCTGCATCACTTTGTTGAACTGGATTTTCAAACAGCTGTGAACCATCCGAAAAAAAGGGCTGTTGAGCAAACAGGTGGCCCGTCTACACCTTTTTTTTTTATTACAGCTGATAATAAATGTTTGTTGACTGGATCATGTTGGACATCCAGTGTGCAAAAGTGCACACACACCAAATATAACTCGGGTTTAATTTCATGTTTCAGCATTTTGGTTCCATTCAGTGAAAGTTCCCTTCTCACTAAGCTGCTTGACTGTTGTAGACTAACCCTGAACCTAATCCTAACCCTAATCCTAACCGTTTCCATCTAGGAAGCGCTTCAAGTCTCCTGTGAGGGAATATTTTAGACTCCAAAAGCTGCTAAAAGAGAAATTCTGAACGATGTCTCGTCCATCTGCAGAGCTGGCAGAAAAAAAGTTGAGACACTTCCAATTTGTTATCATCTCTGACATTATCAAGCAGACAGATTAGCTCCAGTTGAGTCAGATTACGTTTATTATGAACAGATTAACAGTAATATTAGAACAATCCAGTGAACAACGGTTCATATTGTGTTGTTCTACTTTTCCTCTGTACCTGTCAACAACCAGCTGTACGGCAAGCCATTTTAATATTTAATCAGCAACCCCTCTCTGCAATTCCTGTTCTACATAACAATAATATAATTTATCCAGGTCTAAATAACAGCATCTTAATTGGTTAAGGTGTCTCCATCCTTCAGTGCTAACTCTGACCAGATGTCAACAGTTTCAGTTCCGGTGAAACTCTAGGATGAGAACATCCTGACAGATCTACGTCACACTGTCACTAACATTCATGGACTCGCCCATCTGGACTCACGACGGGGAAAGCTGTTGGTTAGCGCCAAGGAAACAGCAGGGAGCGTCTCAGCTAGTAGAAGCTAACTGTTAGCATTAGCAACTGCGCCACACCGCAGAACTCTTCCAAGATTTTTTAGGTAAAATCTCTGAAAATGAACAACAGATATTTCAGGGGTTCAAACCCTTTATAGATCGTAATCATGCCTTTTATCAATAATCTATAGAATGTGTGTGTGATTTAATTATGTTAATACAGACGTGAAATCAATTCATGTAAAATAATCGTGGTAATCATGAAACCGTGATTATTTCTCAGACTATAATCGTTCCACCAACATTTATAATCCTTGCAACCCTCCCGTGAGTTCAGCTGCAAGTTCAGAGTGGAGCTGAACACGGCGCAATGTCGCTACTGACTGGCTAACAGCAACGCGACTCTACCGCTGACTCTGCTCTGCAACACTGATGTTTTATCTTCCCAAATAACACAAGCCTAAAGGAGTCCAGCCAAGATGCAGTGTTGCTAATGCTAACGGTTAGCGTCTACTGGCCAAGATGTGTCCTGCTCTCTCCTGAACACTGAATAAACAACTGCCTTTGCTGTCGTGAGCTAAGATACTATTGTGACATAATGATGCGCAATTGTCAGGCTTTTCTGATCCTGGAGTTTCCCCATCTATTTTCAATCGACAGCTAATGCAGGACATGGGGAAGAATAATATTTTCCCGTTTAGCAGGGATGTGTATTTTTGAAATTCTGGCGATATGATACATATCACGATACAGGGGAGACGATATGATATATCACGATATATTGCGATACATTCAGTCAGACTTTACAAGCTTTTTTTTTTTACTGAATTTATTGTAAGAATGTCCAATAAACAGTCCAAACTGATACGTAACGTGTTTAACATGAGGTATCTGAACCATGATGGAGGGATTTACATTTCAATGGTGGAAACAAAACCCGTTGCACACTGCTGCCAACTAGCGGGTGGTGATTGAATTGCACAAAATGAAAAGAAAATACACAAATGTTTGCATTTAAATTCTTTCAAGAATTAGATATACGGCTTTTGAATATCGATGTAATAATCGCAGGAAAAAATATCACGATATATTGCCATATCGATATTTCCGATACACGGCTTTTGAATGTCGATGTAATATTGCTGTAAAAAATATCACAATATATTGCCATATCGATATCTTCTTACATCCCTACTGTTTAGTCTGCATGTGAAAATCAGACTGACCTATCATATTTAAAAAATAACAACTAAAAACTGTTTTATAGTGAACTTGACCTTTAAAATCATACAAAAAGTTTCCTGTTTTGTTTCTTCTTTCCGTCTCTCCCAGCTGACCTCTCATCTACCTCCAAACTCTCTTGGGGGTAGATGAGAGGTCTACATCGACATTTTGCCATGTTCAGCTCAACTCTGTAGCCATAGTCCCGGACCCCCCACCCTCCCACCCACCCACCTGTTATCTAACAGAAAAACCTGCCTGTCCTGTTATCCTGTCCACCACCCTGCTGCAGCACGCTTCACACCGGCTCCCACTCTGCTCCAGGGCCTCATGACCAGGTAAGGAAACGATATTGCAACAAACAAATGTGTTTCACATTGGTTTTCCATGGCTTTGGCGCTCATTTACTGTCTGCAGTCTGCATGTTCTTTTTTAATTAATTTTAGAAAAATTCTTAATTTTCAATGACCCAAAAAAACTCATTTTTAATGATAAAATAAGTGTGTTGAGCCTTAAATTTGACACTCTCCCATAGATAGCTGACCCTGTCAGAAAATATGAATGCAACAGTTCCAGTGTCTTCTACAGCATATGTACAGTTAGACAATATAGGCTGGCTTGTAGTGCAACGTCTGCATTAGCAATACAAGTGAGGACAAAGCATGAGCAGCGTTGAGCCAACAAGTGCTTTAGAAATGGCAGCATATAGGCTTTACAGAGGGGCACTCACTGCGTACAACCTGCACATGTTTGGGGGGCGGTTGGTTGTGTTTTACACACACAAGGCTGAAACATGGACAACCTGGTGACCGTGTCACGTCACTGTAATCTAGACACACTCAGAAGGCAAAAGAATGACTCGTGTTTTTTTGTGGCTGCCTAGGTCTGAAAATGACTCGTATGACAAAAATTCACCCTAGCCATGTTTATCCTTCGATGCGGACTGTAAATCATGCTGGACTTCATCTTTTATAAATCTCACTCATACACAGAAATAAAGGATCTGGCAGAACATGGAAGAAAAACTTCCTTGTATATTTTTATTTGATTCTTTTTAGGGAAGGACAATATATCAGCATCAAAGTCGGTATTGGCCGATGTTAGTCATTTTTTTAATATCGGTATCAGTCTGATAAAAAAACCGGGCCGATATTATCAACCAATATTTTTTCTATCTTGTCACCATTTGTTTTCCTCAGAGGGTGAGGGGGTGATGTGTATTTGTTTAGTCGTGTGACAGTGAGTGTAATCATCTCAGAAGCGTAAATGTGTGTGGTGTGTGTACATAATAATGTAAATTCAGCTTTAGTCATTTTCATTTTATACAAAATCAGCTGATTTTAGAAGCGTTAATGTCCGTAAATCGGTATCGGCAAATATCGGTTTTCAGCCACAACAGTGATCTTAGTTTCGGATATCGGTCCAAACATTTCATATCGGTGCATCACTATTATTTATTCTTCCTTTGGCTGGAAATTCTAAATTTACATTTGTCATAAAATGCACCTCCAGCATCACAGAGTCCCTATATTGTAGTAGTTCCTTCACTTAAGCAATATGGCATAAAAGTCATATGTTGGCTCAGCTGGAGTCCTAAAGAGTCAACTGATTATCACATGACCTTAACGTGTGTTTGTGTGGAGTTTTATCAATCTGAGCAGCTTCACAACAGAAATGTTCATGCCTGAAGTATGAATCAGTTAGCCTAGAAATCTAGACAAACCACAGCAGGAGCTAAAGTTTTGCTCTGCGGGTCGGTCTAGACACGCGCTCAGGTCTGCAATTCGCCAGAACAGTTTTGTGTCTTGCTAATCACAGCGCTCTACTGTTGTTGGGTGTGCTTAAAGCTAGCGGTGCAACAGGAACACTCAGCTGCGAGTCATAAAATAGCATAACCGAGGAACTACAGATGATAAAGTTTCTCTCAGCTGTGTCACTAGCAGACGTCAACACAAAGGACTGATGTGTTTGGGATGTGTTGTCTGTTGGGAGTGGACAGCCATTATTACTCTGTGGAGAGCCAACACCGACGTACACTGACAACTCTCATTTTAAATGCCTTACATCTAAGATGTGTGTGGTTCATTCATGGACAGTCGGTGTTGATACAAAGCTGGAAAGCTATCCTTCACATGAAAATATAAAGTCTGGCCACGAGCCACTGAAACCACCCAGTCGTGGGGTGGAATCCATGTTTATCTTTTAAACTGTTTCTGAACACAACTGGACAGAGCTAGGACCAATCAGAGCAAACAACAACGTGACACAAGCACTCATTCTGAGCTACACTGTGCTGTTTAACTCATCTTGAACTGCCTGCTCACACTGAGAATGAATTACACACACACACACACACACACACACACCAGCAGGCAGCTCATTTAATATTCCTCTTCCTGTCTGAGGCCCTGTCCACACGTAGCCGGGGATCTGCCAAAACGTAGATATTTTTCTACGTTTTGGCCTGTCATCCACACGAAAACGGAGTTTTTTCACACGAAAACGGATCTTTTTAAAAACTCCGGCCAAAGTGAAGATCTGCGTTTTCTCCGTTTTGGGTGTCTGCGTGTGGACAGACAAAACCGGAGTTTTAAGGTCCGCAACGTCACTTTCCGCCACAAAAAAATGCTGACACCACGTGTGCGACCTGTGTTTACACTAGCCGACAGCATGGATGCCCTCAGAGCTGCGCTCGCTTTATCAATTGTCCAAGCGCTTTCTGCTTGTTTGTTTTTGCAAGCGGAATTACTGCTCCTTGCGGAAGACCACAGACGAAGGACGAGGTTAAGAACGGGGAAGTACTGCCGCCTACAGGTCTGGCATGTCCTTAACAACGTATTTATCCGGTACGTGTGGACAGAGTTTGTTTTTAAACGCGGTGGTGTGGATGCAAGTTTTTGGAGGGGCGGATATTCGTTTTTAAAAAACCCCGGCTACGTGTGGGCTAGGCCTCAGTGGGTGGGGCAAACCATGCTTGGGCTTTATTATGGGGTTGTATGTGTCCAGTTTTCAGGGCTCCAGCGACATTTTGAGGACCAACAAAGTTTCATTTGCTTTAAAAAAGGGTCAAACAATTGTTTATAACTGTAACAGCAATCAAAGTTGTGATGCCATTAATTATTTTCCAGATTGTTGTGATGATTTAATCAGTAAAAGAAATACTTTACTTTGGGTCAAAATATGTATTATCAGGCTAATTGTGGAGAAAAGACAGAAATGAAATGTCTTCGTTACGTCCTCTATGTGACAGTGTGAGCGTCCTGTCACAATGTCCCGATTGATCATGCGCCCTGGCTACTTGGCCAAGGGGATGTCCCTTTGGCTGACTGGTTAGAGCGTATGACTCTCACCCGGGAGTCTGGGGACCGAATCCCGCCCGGGCCCTCGTTTATCCACCTTGCCACATCTAGAAGCCAAAGACCTGCCTGTAGGATGGGTCTATGGGTTTTCTTAAAGGCCTGACATGCATCACGTTTAAAGTAAAAACTTCCAGTCCACATGGTGGTTGGATACGATCGTGGTGGTATTATTGTGTTATTTAGCTGTGTTACTTACGTAGCAGGATCAGATGTACCACAGAAACTAATAAAAACATTTCACTTTCATTATCTGGAGACAGCTGCTGATGCTAGTGGGATTTTTATCTACTCGTTTACACAATGTCCGCGTGACCGAATTAAAACATGTAAATATAAAGTAAACATTCTCTCTTTTTGATAATGAACTGATTTAATTATGTTCTTGTGGTGGGCTTGGTCTGCTCTCTCGACCTAGTGCAACCCGGCTTTTTGTTGTTGTTCTTATGAGAAATTACAAGAAGTTTTTAGTTTTTCTGAACATCTAGACACTCGTTTCACTGGCAGGAACATTGTTATCGTTACTATTGGAATAAAGTCAGGTTGGCGCTTAGCTGAACAAGCTAGTAGCACATCAACAGGACTTCCATCACATGCTAATATGCTAAGAGCGTTAAACCGGGCAATGGTCGTCCTACATCCGCTAAACTTTAATCTACTTCTCTCGGAGTTCGGCTGAGTAAAATACAGCGTTTTAGTGTAAACAAAAACCAGCTCTAGCCGCTGCTGTTGAACTTTACCTCATTCTCTATCCAGCTTTCAGCTCACAGGTGGATTTCCACATGTAGGTACGGCGTGCGGCGAGGGACAAACCGGACCCCAACAGTTTGTCGATTTAGAAGAAGAAGGCACGATCTCAAGAAAAAATCACGAGGCGATTCACAAGGACACAAAATAAAAAAAAATTATTTAAATTATTTTAAAATATAAAAATATGTGATAAAACAATGTAAGGAAAGGGAAAGAGACCACACACGGACAGATAATCGGTGATGTTTACGTGCAGTTCTTTCATGACGTTTATATAAAAACATAAACAAATCTTTCTAGATAGAATTTGAAGAAGTTTTAATTTGTTGCCAATTGATTATTATTGAAACTATTTCTTGTTATGTTAGCACAGATTCAGAGATTACACTTTGATCTATTTTATTACTTATATATTTAACTTAAATACACAGTTACTTATAAAAAATAAGCTTAAATTTTACTCTGTAGCTCATGGTTAAAATGTTTTCTGTAAATGTATTTATAGAGTTTAAATAATATGAATTCTGAGGCATTTCTAAAGTTGTTTGATAGCATTAGGATTTTTCTGTAAGATCTTGAACCCAACGCAACACCAGGTTTTAGGTTCGAACAATGTGTTCAGGTCACAAACACAGAAAGTATATTCACAACTGAACACTGCTGAAGACACTGCTTCCAAAGCTTGTATTTACCAGAAAATGAATGTATTTTAATTGTTTAACAAAAATAGGCTGATTAGACTAATGAAGTGCTGACTGTAGACGACCAAAGGAATGAAAAACACATTTTAATTCACATATCATTCCACATCATCATGTCTCTCTGTGCATATGGCCTGTCCAGAAAACACCATGCACATCAAAGACAACATTCTCATGCATCTTTGGAAAAACACCCTGATATTAGACCTTTGGAGGTGATGTTCAGTAATGGTGAGTTCTGTCAGGGTGATGGTGCAGAGGTGAGGAGCTCACCTGGTCGAACCATGTTGTAGAAGGCAACAAAAAACACTTCTTCACCCATCAAAGTTGACACTGTTTTCAATCACCGCTTGATTTCAAAGAGTTGGATGACATTACTTTGAATGACCAAGTGAACAATGATGCTTCTTGTTGGTAGAAAAGAGAAGTCTGTCCACCATCATTTGGCCGTCTTTCAATTCAATTCAAGTTTATTTATAAAGCGCCAAATCACGACAAGAGTCGTCTCAAGGCACTTCACATAATAAACATTCCAATTCACAGTTCATTAAGCCAATCAGAAATAATGTGCCCTATATAAGGAACCCAGCAAATTGCAGAAATCCTCATACTAAGCAAGCATGCAGCGATAGTGGAGAGGAAAACTCCCTTTTAACAGGAAGATACCTCCAGAGGATCCTTTCAATTCTAACAGAAACACAAAACGTGTATAAGCAGCCAGTAAGATAGCAATGTAATGGAGATGATAGCATCACAGTCTGGTATAATAAATAATGTGCAGTAAAAAATGTGCCTGTTATTTGGTCTGATCGCATCTTTGGAAATGTGCTGAATGTTGAGCTGCTGTGTGTAAAAGATGACAGCTCTGTATCACATTTTGCTGCCCGTTCGGCTGTCCGGTGGTGAAATGTGTTTGAGAACGTGTTTAAAGTTTTGAGAAAATTCTAATTGTGTCTAAGTACCTGAACTATGCTAAAGACTTGGCTGAAACTGAGTATCATTCGAAAAACGCGTTTAGGGTTCAGAGGATTTGGTGTAAAACAATGAAGTTTAGTGTTTTAGCAAATCGGAAAAAATGTAATTAACTGATTGAAAACAATTTGATTGCATTTGTCAGCAATTAACTTATAGTCTTCAGATTTGAGTGAATTGTTTTAGATAATGGTTTTAGTGAACTGCATAATAATGAAGAGTACGTGAAATAAAATGTAGCTTTCGTTTTGTTTTATTTTTACGCTCTCAGATGATTTTTGCTTATAAACTGTCACAGAGGTAGCTACAAATAAAAGGATCTATATTTTATGCTAACCTACTTAGATGAGCTCCATATGGAATATAGTTGGGCAAGCCTCATGGGTCCCACCAAGGTTTGTCCACGATTTCCACGATGGCCCCACAGAGGTTTGCCCACAAAGATTTTAATGACAGAAAGAAAGAAAGAAAGAAAGAAGAGAAAGAAAGAAAGAAAGAAAGAAAGAAAGAAAACTATATTTTTATAGGGCCTCTCAAGATAAAAATCACAAAAACAAAAAAATTGAAGTATAAAAAATATTTTCAAAATTTTTTTTGAAAATATGTTTCAAATGAGAAAAATATCCCATTTGTGAATTAAAATAAAACTTAAAGAAAGAGAGAGAGAAAATGAATAGGAAAGAGAGAAATCAGTGGATCTTGAGAAAGTCAGAACAAGAGAAGAAGAAGAAGAAGAAGAAGAAGAAGAAGAAGAAGAAGAAGAAGAAGAAGAAGAAAATATCATTTCTATAGCGCCTCTCAAGATAAAAATCACGAGGCGCTTCACAAAAACAAAAAATGTAAAAATATAAAAAATCATTGAAAATGTTGAAAAATATATTTAAAATGAGCAAAAATAGACAATTGTGATTAAAAATGTTAAGAAAGAGAGAGAGTGAACAGGAAAGAGGGAAATCGGTGGATCCTGAGGAAGGTGGAATAGGTGGGGAGAGCAGAATAAAGAGAGAGAGGTGAAGAAGGTCATACAAAAGCCAGCTTGAACAAGTGAGTCTTCAGCTGCTTTTTAAAGGAGACCACTGAGTCAACTGATCTCAGGCTCAGGGGGAGAGAGTTCCAGAGTCTGGGGGCCATAGCAGCAGATAATCTGTCACCTTTGACCTTTAGCCTGGTGCTGCACAACCAGTAGGCTTTGATCACTGGACCTCAGGGACCTGCTGGGGGTGTAGGGACTAAGAAGATCACCAATGTAAGATGGTGCTTGTCCATGTAAGGCCCTATAGACCAGAACCAGGATCTTGAAATGAACCCTGAAGTTGACTGGCAGCCAGTGAAGCTGGAGGAGAAGCGGGGTGATGTGGGTGTGTTTGGAGGACTTGGTCAGAAGCCGAGCACAGTTTGAGTCAAACCCTCTGAAACCCCATGTAGGGCCTGTTAAAATCTATGTGGGCAAAAATCAACCCCCGCGGGGCGTCATGGAAACCACAGACAAACCCTGGTGGGGCCATGGGGCTGGGTACATTTAACAATAATAATAAATCATTTAGAAATGCGTACAAGCTATAAGAAAATAAATAAATAAATAAGGAGAAAAAGGCGTTTCCATTCAGACATAACTTAGATAAAACAGAAAATTGAACACAGATTTATTTTGAAAGTTCAGACCGGAAACTCTCTTTCTTATTTTGTAAGATTGACCGCCGGGCCGGCGAGCCTGTGAAAGTCTTCAGTTTGACTTGAGTTCAGGAGAAGAGATCATGTCTGCCGTCGTAGGCGAGCTGCACTCACCTACAATCTCATTCAAAACGAGTTCTTTATGAAATAACAGCGGCGCGAGACCTCCAGGATGTCCAGCTCGGTGAGTAGCCGGCGGCGGAGTCTCACATCCGTACCAGCGCTCGGGTTTGCCACACCGACAGGGCCGGTGGTGGTTTTTATTCCGGCAGGAGGATTTTCATTCGCCCGGTGGGTTGGCTAGTCTCCCCGAGCCGAGTTAACGGAGTACTGCGGGATTACGTCCGGACAGCTCGCGCTGACTCGTACCGTCGACCAAAACCGACTTTTTATGGCATCGCTGTTTTTATTTAGGTAACGGCCACTCACCATCCTTGAGTTGGTCGAACGGAAAAAGTCAATTAATGCGTAAATAACGCATAACAGCCACCTGTTATTTGGACTGGTTTTGTCCGTCATATTGTAATATTTACACTATTAGGGTTAGGAAAGTAAAACGTTTAAACGCGGACAAACGTGTATTTATGTGGGATGAACGCTGAGTGGCGTCTGTTCTCTGGTGGGAAGGAAGGCTGGACCCCGCTGGGCCAGGGACCTCCAGGAACCGCCGCCTCCATCCAGGAAACTAAATCAAATACAAACACAACTGCACAAACTATTTCTATTACAATTGTAATAAAGCTGGTAAGTCGTCATAAATCCACACAAAGTCCATATGAGCTGAAGCATTTTTATTAGGTTTTATACAGTTTTGCACGTTTGTGTTGTGGAATCAGATGTACAAACGCTGTTTAGTGGGTCTGAAGGTGAAGTGTTTGGGACCACTGGACCATGGATGCTGTTAGAGGGCCTGCAGGTCATGCTGCTTCATCCCAGACCCACGGCGGGCACGATCTGTGATAGAACCACTGTGGGTGTTTTCATGAGAACATAACAATAAAAGCTCCAAAAAGAGTGGTTCTCTGTGTGTGTGTGTGTGTGTGTGTGTGTGTGTGAGTGTGAGTGTGAGTGTGTGTGTGTGAGTGTGAGTGTGAGTGTGAGAGTGAGAGAGAGAGAGGCATGTTATAAGTTGAGGATGACCTCTGACTCTTTCAGGGAGCTGTTCAGGTGAAACTGGAACTCGGACATCGTGCACAGGTCAGGAAGAAACCCACGGTGGAAGGCTTCACTCACGACTGGATGGTTTTTGTCCGAGGACCGGACCACAGCAACATCCAGCACTTTGTGGAGAAAGTTGTTTTTCACCTGCATGAAAGCTTCCCCAAGCCAAAAAGAGGTATGCTTTCTCTGCTTTTGTTGCTGCTCCCTTCTCCCGGTGCTGCTGCGGAGGTCTTAACGCCTTCAGACACCTCAGCAGGGTTTAAACCAGGGCTCTCCAACCTGGAGATGTTTTGTTTATCTTTTTGCTGCTCCAGCACTCCTAATTTGAATCAATAGGGATTAACAGGCTTCTGCTGAACTCGATAACCTGCTGAGCATCAACCTTTAACCCTCTCAGGCTCAAAATAAGTTTTGTTAAAAGGACGAACAACTAAGTCCTTCAGAGATACTTCTGTGTTATAAAAATGCTCCTGAAATACATATGTGGAGTGACCAGGTAGGTAGTAGGGCTGTAGCGATGCGTCGATGATGTCGACGGCTCGATTCTAAAAATTCGTCGACGTCAGATCCGGTAGTCGACGCACCACGCCCACTTGTTGCATCCCCAGGAGTTTGTAAATAGAGGAGGAATCTGCCTGTTTTCCCTCTAGTTCGCCCTCTTCTCCGCCTTCACTAACATCTCCGCCAAATACCGAAGACCCGGAACAACGTCCGTCCACAACTAGATTATTTTCCTGTTTTGCCCGCCTTCGTCTCCCGGCAACGGACAACAACTTCCGGGGTCAAACGCGCCGCTTCGTCTCTACCGCAGATGTAGAACATCACCGGGAGCGTTTCTCCCTTCATTAAGGAGCTTCTTTCAGACATTAGGAGAGCTGTTTTGGTGGTAGCAGTCTCTCCTCCGTGCTGGTCTGTTTGCTGCTGGGTGTTTTTGGTTTATTTAAACTTGGTAACTTGAACTTAACGTTGGTAAAGCTACTGTTAGCATTTTCGCTAACAGCTTGTTGCGTTTGGATCAGCTGTTACGTTTTGGTTTAGAGTTCATCTTTTTTGTGGTGCAGATCTCCCTTTTATTACATTTAGAGTGTCGTGGGTTTTCGGTTTAGTTTAAAAAATCACCTTGAGTTTGGTTTCACCGCCCAGTTTAGAGTTTGGACCTTTGGAGATTCTTATTTTGGTCCAGAACCCAGTAATCTTTGCCCAGTGGGACATCCCCACTTATTTGTACTTTTGTTTTAATTCCCCACAGGCAGAATTAGTTTTATTATTCCCAACCTGCGGATGGAAAGATTTATATATTTTTTGTAGTTGTAAACAAACCTGATCATCATTTTAACTTTTAAATCCCGTTATTGTCCCTTCCTTTTTGCACACGAGCCAAACTCCCCAGGAAGGGTCGTAACACCACTCGCCTCACGCACATAAGTGACCAAAACAAAGCAGCATGGAGACCGTCTCCAACCACCTCTCAGGCAGCAGCCTGCACTCCCAAGTTCTACACGTCACCAGAACATAACCAACACGATAAAAGCAGTGTTGTACAAAATGGAAGGCCTGTAGTGTTTATTCTCTTACAGTAACAATTTATTAATGTTTTTGAGGAATTTATTGGAGATTTGTTGGTTTTTATTAACTGTGCAATAGAAAAATAATCATTAGATTAATTGTCTAAATAGTCATTAGAATAGTCGACTATTCGATAAAATAATCGTTTTAAAAACAATCGTTTACCCCCAGCCCTAGTAGGTAGGTTTTAACTGTTGCAAATCTGCAACGCCTGCCTCCAGAGGGTTCAATCAGGTGTGTTGGAGCAGAGAAATGACTAAAACAGGCTGGGTAGGGAATTTCAAGGGCCAGTGTTGGCGACCCCTGATTTAAAACCGCCATGCTGTTTCATCCAAACACCTTCTGAAAATAGCATTAGTTAGAGTTAGTCGTAAAATAATAAAACGAAAAATAGAGCATTTTCCCTTCTGATTTTGAGTAATAGAAGTTAGTCTTTCTCCACTGCTCTGGGATCGTTTTAGAGGACCGTCTGTGAGTTCAAAATGTACAACATTTGTTATTGTGTGCACATCAGCAGCTTCTCCTTCCTTTTGGACATGCATCAGCTGCTTCCATACACTTTTCTGCTGTTTTATAATGTCATCATTTGCATTGTCATGTAGATGAGAATGAGCTATATTTATGAATGTTGAATAGTAACTTCCTATAAAACTAATAGTCCTCATTTCATTGCTTGAGTCATTATATACAAATAGGTGTAATCATACATACTTTAGATTTAACCCTTCCACATTGTTAATGGGGTCAGATGGCCCCAGGTGCTTTTTCATTTTTTTAGGAGTGCACCATTTCACCCTTGCCAAGGGATAAACCATCAACCATGTTTAACCACCCCTGTCCTGGAGGAGTCACCTGATTGGACAGTGGAAGGGTTGGATTCATTTATGGTACAGTAAAGAAGAAGAAAATATCATTTCTATAGCGCCTCTCAAGATAAAAAATCACGAGGCGCTTCACAAAAACAGAAAATGTAAAAATATAAAAAAGAATTTAGAAATGTTTAAAAATATATTTAAAATGAGCAAAAATAGACAATTGTGATTAAAAAATGTTAAGAAAGAGAGAGAGTGAACAGGAAAGAGGGAAATCAGTGGATCCTGAGGAAGGTGGAATAGGTGGGGAGAGCAGAATAGAGAGAGAGAGGTGAAGAAGGTCATACAAAAGCCAGCTTGAACAAGTGAGTCTTCAGCTGCTTTTTAAAGGAGACCACTGAGTCCACTGATCTCAGGCTCAGGGGGAGAGAGGTCCAGAGTCTGGGGGCCACAGCAGCAGATGATCTGTCACCTTTGACCTTTAGCCTGGTGCTGCACAACCAGTAGGCTTTGATCACTGGACCTCAGGGACCTGCTGGGGGTGTAGGGACTAAGAAGATCACCAATGTAAGATGGTGCTTGTCCATGTAAGGCCCTATAGACCAGAACCAGGATCTTGAAATGAACCCTGAAGTTGACTGGCAGCCAGTGAAGCTGGAGGAGAAGCGGGGTGATGTGGGTGTGTTTGGAGGACTTGGTCAGAAGCCGAGCTCAGGCATTCTGAACCACCTGTAGACGGTTCAGGGAGGTTCTGCTCAGACACGTGAAAAGAGAGTTACAGTAGTCTAAGCGTGAGGAGATGAAGGTGTGGAGAACTGTCTCAAGTTCAGAGCGGGACAGAATGGGACTCAGCTTAGCAACGTTCCTGAGATGGAAGAAGGAAGAGCGAACAAGAGAACTGACATGAGAATCCAGGGTGAGAGCTGGGTCAAAGGTCACGCCAAGATTCCTGACAGAAGGTTTGGTGTGGGAAGCAAGCTGACCAAGAGAGTCTCTGACTTTGGGAACCAGCTTGTCTGGGGCACAGATGAGGATCTCAGTCTTATCTTCCTACAGCTGAAGAAAGCTCCCACCATCCAGGTTTTGATAGAGTCTAAGCAGGTGTGTAACAGCTGCAGCTTAGACATCTCATGGGGCTTAAAGGAGATGTACAGTTGGATGTCATCTGCATAAAGATGGTAGGAGATTCCTTTAAAGGAGCTCAGGATGTGCTGAAGAGGAAGCAGATAGAGGAGGAAGAGTAGAGGCCCCAGCACAGAACCTCGGTGAGACTGATAATAGCAATCCAAAGTGCTTTTTATGTGTGATCTGACAATTGATCAACCATTGCTTAAAAATTAAATACAGCTTAGCCGGTTAGTTGCTGTGATCATAAAACACGTAAACGGCAGCACGCAGAAATCACGAGGCAACGTTTTACGTGACGTTTACTTGTTGCTATGAGCAATAAGACAGAAAAAGCCACGCCAAAATAAGTTTAGGAAGCCCACTAAGAATCGTAATAAAAGCATTTAAAATAAATACCATACACAGTTGAGGAAACGTTGGTTTAAGTACCTGATATGAAGCGGTCGCTGCATAAGCGAAAACCTTTACTCTCGGGATCCCACAGCTTCATTTTAGCCCGGTCACTAGCGCGTTGTATTACAATGATCCAACGTTTGCGGCGTTCCGGATCTTGGGGAATCCTGTAGACGGCTCATTCCTTATGTCATCCGCGTCTGTTCTGCATCCTGGGGCACAACAGGAATCTACCATATTTCCTGTTTGAGTTTTCTGACAATAACAAATAGTCCAGCTGCGGTCTTCTGCCTGCCAATATGGCACCGCTTCGATTTGAACTGTTGCATGCCGGGAGACGTGACGTCAACTCCCGGAGCTCTATTGAGGTGAAATCTTCAAAATCGTGATATTGATTTTAGGCCATATCGCCCAGCCATATAGTAAAATAATATTTAGTAATTTGAGTTTTTAGGAAACATTCATAAATGGGCTTTATCAGCTGTAACTGAAAGAAAAGTCGGAATTTTTGGAAAAGAGAAATATTTTCTATCTTTAAGAAATTATGTGTATTTTATAAAAAAGCAAGTTTGCTGTTGCTTCTCCCTCTGAGCATGGTGTGTGTGCTGGTGTGTGTTATGGGCTTGATTCTTGGGGGTGGGTGACTGCTGCTGCCAGACTGCACTTCCTTTTAACACATTTTCCAAGCAAGAAGTGTGGGTGGAGTCTGGTAAGAGGGTGACCTGCTCTTTAACGTAACGTTACCATTGTCACTCTGAATTTACTTCTTTAGACTTCAACAACAAATGAAATTTACGTTTACAAAAACTTTCAGGTCATTAGAAATTATTTCTGGACCCTGTTCAACATGATTGTGTAGTAACTGTTAATCTTTTCAATGGTACTCAGATTCAGATGTATAATTTTTAAAATAATAATTTATTGACAACACCTGCATTCTCCATTTATATGGAGACTTTGAAAACATGAAATATTACATGTGTCTGATTTAACATTGTGTATATGTACATATTTTTGCCTGTTTCTTAAATAACTTATGATCCAATCAAGTGCCACTCCCCTGATACCATACTTGATAAGTTTTCCATACATAATGGTGGGATCGATAGTATCAAACGCTTTTATTGTAATGATATATTTGAGTTAACAATGTTATCCTGTCCTGTCTTTAATCCATCATGAACACCGACTACAGAGAAATCCTCTGATGCATCCATGCTGCTCAGTACCAGACCTGTATGATGTCACTATTTACCAAAGAGCCAATCAGCTGGCA